CATATACTGGATGCATGATAGGATCTTATCCATATCTGATTTCTATTATATTGGTTTCTGGATGTACTTAATGTTCATTTGGGTGTGCATCATTTATGGATCATATGCATAATATGCACCGGTATGGGACGGTGGCATATTGGAGATGGATTAGATCAAAAAGCTAAGTCCTATCTCTTCATACATACGGAATAGATTAACTAAAACAGTTAAATCCTACATAGATGCATGTTCTGTCAACTAAAACGGTTGAACGACATAACGGATGTTTGTTTTATTTTTCTGTATTAGGAGGGATTTATATATATACTTATGGTACTGTGATATGAGCTTGAGCCTCAGGATCATGGTTAGGGTGCATATATCGCAAAGGTTGGGTAGCTAGATATAGCTGATGTTCCCTGGTAGGTCTAGGTACATGACTGCTAGAAAGTGTGATTTACATGTTACCTGCTACTCAAGCTGAACTACACTATAGGCTAGTGAGCATCCTGTAGTGTGTATCTATATCTATATGGACTATTTTAGCTATTGCTGAGCTGTCTAGGATGTATCTGCGTATCAGGTTTATGTATGGATTGTAGTAGAACGAAACTTGCATGTCGGCCTGACCCACTCTTATTTTTCAGGTGTTCGTCAGTACCGGGCTTAGAGCTTGATCGTGATGAAACAGATATAGTCACTCACTCTTCCGACTACATAGGATTTCCTTTCTTATTTTAGTTTTGGATTTTGGTTGTGTAATTATTGTTCATTTGGAATTCTTAGGGGTCCACTGGATGGATTCCCGAGTTGTACGAATTGGAAAATTAAATTATAAATCTATAATACTTTTTGGAGCATTTTTGTATTTAGAATTCTTTTCAGCTTATTATTTTATTTTTTTTATTCTCTTGTATTATTGCTTGTTTACATATTAATTGTTTGGTATCCCTCGGATCTGTGCTCGGACTTGATCACCCGTGGCTCTAGAATTAAGGGGTATCACAACCATCGACTGCATTATGGAAGGCATTGCCAATACGATAATAGTTTTGTGAACACCAAATTAAAATGAGAAATCATGTTGTAGAAAAAAGGTATCGTAGGAAACTATTATTATATGAACAAGAAAATATAGAGAAAAACATATAACGGGAAATCAAAAGTGTATTACTTGAGTCAAATTATCAAATGTTTGTTGACAACTCTATGTCCAGTTTATTGCTCTTATAACTCATAAGTACTGGAAACATGCTCCTATAACATTTAGTAAAATAAAAGAAAATAAGTACAACAAAAAATCACACATTTAATTAATTTATAAAGTTTCAAAGCAAACCCTTGTGGCCCTTTGTTGTCTTGTTGAAACTTTGGTGGTTTTGGCAATAAATTTTTGTCTTCGTCGTTCAAGTGTACCCTTTAGTCGACTACGTGGGGTCCAACTGTGGCTTTTCTTTTAACTCCTATGGGCACACAATTGTTAGTTGGAGCTATCATTTCAACTTGCTCATTTCGACCAATTGAACTTTCGCTACCACTTAAATTGTTCAAGTAAAGTTCTTTCTTCATCTCCTCCGAGTCATTAAGCAACACAAGAGCATATTCATTTGCATATGCATATAACTTCTCGTGTTCTGAAGCTAAAGATGAAATTTCCTAAAAATTTGGACACAAATGACTGTAACACTTTCCCACAGACACCGTAGGACTATCATTGGCTTCAATTCCATAATAGTTAGTGATAGTCCTTGCCTTTGCATCTTTTGTCCATCGTTTCATGATATATTGGGATGGAATCTTTTTTATATTTTTCTTATCCAACACTTTCAATGCATGAATACGTAAAATTCCAATAGAAGTGAACTTCATGCAACTACAAATGACTAATTGTGTTGAGGCATCAAATTTAACCACATGCTCTCGAGATTTTCCAACACAAGACACTTTGTATTCAACTTTTGTCCCTTCCTTAGCCACTTTGTATATATTGTAATCGTCTTTCCTCATGTACTCTTTTTGAAACAATTGAAAAACTTCTAGGGTATAAATTTCTGCCCCATGACGTAATGTCTCCACACTATTTAACAACTTAGGCACAATTTGGAACATCTTAAAATCTGCACATGGTTCTTCATATCGCCAATCATTCAAAACCCTCTCATAATGCTCCAAGAAACGCAAAAGATCAAGATTTGGCTTTAGGTAATTCTTCAACACATTGTTTATGCTTTCACTATGTTGGGTACTTTTCATGTCCGCAGTGAAAGTGTGCTACCATAAACCATGGCCCATTTTTCTCTTACATCAAATAACTCTTTCAACCATTTATTCTTTTTGAGACTGTATTTATCCAACATACTTTCCCATGCCAATAGCCACTCATCTTAATATTCATAATCATACACACAGTTGCCTAGATCTTGTGCAAATTGGCTTGTTGAATGAAATACATGATTCAAATTCTTTGCAGCATTTTGATAAATATGCCAAACACATAGTCGATGTTGAGATTCAAGAAAGATTTATGATATTGCTTTTGTCATTGCAGCAGATTGATCTGTGAGAATCATCTTAGGCTGCTTTCCAGACATTACACCAAGGAAAGTCTCAAACAACCATCTAAATGATTCAGTGGTTTCATCATAAAGTAAGGCTGCACCAAACATGACTGTTTGCTTATGATGATTTACCCCAATAAATGGTGCAAAAGTTTGACCATATTCATTTATCCGATAAGTAGTGTCAAAACACACAACATCTCCAAAAAGGTCATAATCACTAAGTGAGTGTGAAACTACCCAAAAAAATATTAGTGATCATATCATCCACATCGAGCTATAGTGAGTAAATATATGATGAATCTTTTAGTTGCATATTGTGGAAATACTCCAATATAGCTCCAACATCTCCTTTTTCCATTGCCATCTTTCGCTTCTATGTATGTAATTTCGGTAATCCTTATCTAAAAAGCTAAGATTCTCTCTCCCCCCAACTTCTCTGCTCATCAATTCCATAGTTGATTTTATTGGTAATCCAGACCTGTTTGCATATTCAGAATGTGCTTTTTGAGCCTTAGAAATACTTCGATTAATCTACAACATGTGTTTCATTAAAGTTCTAATCAATTCATGATTATGACTTTTATTCAATGACACAACCTTAAAGTTTCCATTATTTTGAAGTAGGCATGTCATTTGAGCCTCACAACCAACTCTTGTAATTGCTTGATGGTAGTTAGGATTTTTGTTCATGTTGTCTTTTCTTTTACCTTCTTTTGAACAACAAAAGGAAATCCTCGTGATGATCCCCACTCTATTTTTTCTGTGATGATTTTTCCTTACATCGAAACCAAGTTTATCACCGTAGTTGAGGTAGAACTGGTTTGCTCTCTCATCGGAACTAAACTCCATTCCATGTTTCGGTTCGACTTTTTTTGAGGAACATTCATTGGGAAGAGAAGGACAATCATCTTCCATATCCACTTCACAATTATTCGATGGCTGTTCAAACTTACATAATCCATCTCCTGTATATTTCAATAATGAGAATAATTTGTGACTATTCAGAAGACAATTCTTTCAATGCTTGAGAACCCTTTATGTTTTTTTTACTAATAAATGGATAAACAAAGAAATTTAATAAAATGCAAGGAATAAAATACAAAGAGTTATTTAAGACAGTACATTTGAATATAATTAATCCTAAACTATACAATACATTTTTCTTTTTCTTTTTATTTTGTTATTATTATTATTATTTTTGGAATAGGTAAGCAATAGAGACACAAGCACCAAGAGAAACCCCCAAGTCCACCAAAACAAACATATATGAACCAAAGCAACACCCCAACTATACAAACAAAAACTGAATTTAACTCGAGACTAAGACAACACACCAGCACAAAAAAATAATAATAATAATAATAATAAAAAAAAATTTTATGAGAGAAACACAAGATGTCCACGTGAATGGGAGATTCTATTTATTAATTTATTTGCCACATCAGCAATCTCTACTGACTGATCAACCATCAACAAAATTTGACATTTTTTCTTTTTATGGAAATTGAACCTAAATAAGAATGAGAGCAAAAGAAACAGAATAGAAAGTTTGAAAGCTCAAAAAACTCAAAATTGGAATATAATTAAGCTCGATTTCGGCAAAGTTTGAACAAAACTTCTTACTCGATTTAAGCTATTAGAAAGAGAAAAAAAATTACACGATTGAACAAATTAATTTTGACATTTTTCCTTTTAATGGAAATTGAACCTAAATAAGAATGAGAGCAAAAGAAACAGAATAGAAAGTTTCAAAGCCCAAAAAACTCAAAATTGGAACATAATTAAACTCGATTTCGGCAAAGTTTGAACAAATTTCTTACTCCATTTAAGCTATTAGAAAGAGAAAAAAAATTACACGGTCAAACAAATATAATGTTTTAACATACCTGTTTCACGAAAATGAATCAATCTTTACTAAGATCAAATCGAAATCGAAATACAATCTGAAGTGGAGTGGTGGAGATCATGTTATATTAGGTTTGAAATGATTAGCGGTTAAGGAAAAAGAGTGATGCAGATGAAGATACACAAATAGGAGCAAAGAGAGGAAAAAAATAGATTTATCGGGTTTAACCATACAAAAATGGGTATAACCTATGTTTTGTATTTTTTTAAATTTAAAAGAGGTGTTAACTTCTTATTAGGACACGTTAATGTGCATGACACAATTTATCTTGATAAGGAAGGGCCGAAGTATTATCCCTATTTGGGTCATTGTTCTAAATTTGACTATTGAAATTTGAATTACAAATGTGAAGAGTTGTAATAATACAACAAAATGGGCTTTTAACAACACATTTCCTACGAGGGGTATGCATAACCCTTGTAGAAAGTACTTTTTACAACAGCCTCGAGTAAGCCCTTGTAGAAGACTAGTTTTCCACAATAGGCCCGGATAGCCCATTGTAGATAGGGCTTTCTACAACAGGCCCGCATGGCCTCTTGTAGAATAGGGTTTATTTTTCTGAAAAGTAAATTTTGGCGGATTGATGAAAAAATGGCGGCTTTTTTTTTCATCAATCTCTAGCAGCGCGCCAAAAAGCTTAAGGTACCATTTATTCCTCCCAAATTCGCACACATCGATCCACCAACCAAAATCCCCACGAAACCCTAATCATCTAAGCCCAAATTCCGCGAGTTTCACCTTCAGATCGAGGAAAATAACCCAGGTACATATCTATGTTCTTGGTTCATCTCGGTTCTTCTCTGAATATATGTGTATATATATATATATATACATATATACATATATTTGGTTCAACACTTCGCACACATCGATCCATCAACCAAAATCCCCACGAAACCCTAATCATCTAAGCCCAAATTTCGCGAGTTTCACCTTCATATCGAGGAAAATAACCCAAGTACGTATCTATGTTCTTGGTTCATCTCGGTTCTTCTCTGAATATATATATAGATATATATTCAGAGAAGAACCGAGATGGTGGATTAGTCTAAGCCTCTCTAACACAGGTACTATTTTTTAACTTCCTATTTGATCATCTCTGCGTTCCCTTCGCAATTTGTAGAGCCTCTGTCTCTATAATTAAAACAATTCCTGAAATTTGGATGTATGCATTTGAGAGTGATTATTAAAAAGAAAAAAAAAGATGAGACTATTTAAATATGCTAAAGTCTAACGCACATGTTCTCTGAACCTCATTTGAGTTGTTTTTTTTTTTTTTTTTGGTTTGGTTTTGTGTTACACTCGTATCTAAATAAACAAAATGCAGAAGAAACTTGTTGAACTTCCTAAGGAAGAGATATTGAAATAGAAGGAAGAGCCTGGAATGTTGCTTTCAAATGTAAACTCCATTACATATGTGATGAGATTGCAACCTAGAGTTAGACAGTACAAGAATTTTAAAAACTGATGATAAAAATGTGGGGGGAAAAACCAACATTTTTTTTTGTTGATGTTCATTATTCATGTTATAAGTATTAAAATGATTCATTAATTTCATTCAGTGATTGAATTTCAGTTGTTGGATAATGATATCTGATGAATGGTTGACATCTAATATATTTATTTGTTTTTTTTTTTTTTTTTTTTGGTTTTTGGTTAAGATATCAGCAATGTCAACAATTGGGCATATATCTTCCCACACACCATTGATGAAGGCAGGATAATCTGGGAAAAGGTTCCAGGTTTCTGTTATGACTATTTAAGAGTAATCTAGATCCCTTGAAGTGATTCAGGAATCAGGTAGATAATTAGAGGTGCTAAATTGCTAATAAGGTTGTAAACTTACTATCTAATGAAGCTACACAACATAATGAATTAAATCCCATTTAAAAAAGTGTCAATAGGAGGTCTTTTGATGGTGATGGAGACTCCTATTTGGGTGCTAAAACATTCCGTCTTGAATTCCGTATTTTTTGGGTTAATGGGTGGTATTGTAAATCTTTGGAGGACTTTGTCGATAGATTGAGAGATAGTAGGCCTTTTGAACAGATGTTCTTGGCCTTTGTACAGTTGTCTAATGAAATTTTGTTATAAAAAATGTCAATACTTTTTTATACCTTGTGTGGATTTTCATGATAATTGGTATGCTGAAATTGTTTGAAGGTTTGAACATGACATGGCCATTTCTAACCTTTGTAATTGAGAGAACTTCGTTAACTTCCATCTCAGGACATTTTTCTATGAAGGTATTTGAACAATGGACATCATTGAATAAATGATGAAGTTAGTATTGCTGCCCTAATGTGTAAAAATTAAATACAACAGAGTCAAATCAATTAGAAGTGACAAAACTTAAATGCTCCAATATGATTTACTTTTCACTTTTCTTGCCACCGTTATTCAAGTATTCAACTGTTGGCTTTTTCTTGCCTAATGAGAACGTTCGAATGCCTAAATGAGACTTGATTAGGTAATTGGAGATTTCATTGTTCTATCTCCGGAGAAAAAGAGGCTTTTAACGACATCATAGTACTGCTGACGAGCAGTAAATGAGCATCTTTAAATTCTCTTAAAAAGAAGTATTGCTTAAAATTTTACAAATGATTACAAGAGGCTTGATAAGAGAAAATGATTAAATCTTTGAGTGGTAAAATAGCAACTATAAACATTTTTATAAAAAATAGCTGTTAGTGATATTTTCTTGAGAATTATAGAGTTGAGACCTCCTTGTTAGGAGGGGGAGGGTTGATGGGTGTTGGTTCGAAGCACTGTCCCCTTTGGTGCATTATAGGGGATCTGAACCTTTTGCCATTTATTCAAGTCGGTAACAACATTTAACTTTGGAATTTCAAATTCCATTTTACCAACTTTTTATATAAATATATATTGAACTGGTAGAATATGATGATAGATTGGAAGATGCAACAGTAGCCCAATAAAGTGATGGATTTGATAATAAAAATCACAGTACTGGAATTTAATTAAGCAGTTTTTTTTTTTCAATTGGTAAGTTACACATATGTTCAAATAGGGGCTTGAACCCTTAACCTCTCCTACTCGAGCTAAGACTTTGGTGGTCAGCTTGTTTGGTCTTGGTTAATTTCTAAACATTAGTCACTATAATGGGTTTGAGATGTATCTCTTATAAGGAGATGGTTTACTTCTTTCCATATCACCAATTTGTTGTATTTATTTATATATTTAGTTTCTTTGAAGTACTTAATTTCACCTGCCATTATCTTAAATCTCATGTCCAACCATTATTGTAATTATTTTTAATGTTCTAGATTGCTCATGAGAATTTAGTTGTTTTCTTGAAAAATTATTTTGACATACTAGTGAATGAGATCCTTTTTATGTTTCTTTTCCAACAATGTTGGTTTGTGATTTCCAGTCCCACCAGCTAATTTTACTCAAAACATGAAATAATCTTATGGTAGTCCCTTCGTGCCAGAACATAGAGGGCTTTGGTTAAGAAGCACGTAGAAGACAACAATACCTGGGTGGTTGTCAGGCAAATCCTTTCTTTCACATTAAATGAGAAGGTACAACAATCTTGATGCTTTTATTTTTTATTTTTATTTTTTTAAATTTTTTTTCCCATAGTTGTGGACTATTATAGATCATGAAACTAACTGTAGATCTGATTGAAAATTTGGTAGGGTGCTTTTGTGAGGGAAATACTTCTTGAAGAATTGGCTAAGGTATGGGTTTTGGGCATCTTTACTGATTTACCATTCAAAGAGTAGGAGAATTGTAAGGCACAAGATCCTCATGCATTGGGCATGCTTGCAATTTGTTAGGACTTGCTTTCTCTCCACTCCTAGCCCCCCACTTCCCTCCCCCACCCCACAAACACACCCAAAAGGAAAAAGAAAAAGTAAAAGGAATGGAATAAAATAGATAACGTATTGAGTTATTCTACGATTCAACACATCACTGATGATAAGTTGGATCAAAATGTGATGTGTTATTGTTTAACAAATTTTCTTGTATACCATTGAGGGGTTTGTCCCCATTTCTAGTTTTCTACTAAACCCAATGAAACTGTGTATTCCTACTCTTCTAATGTACAAAAAAATATGGAATCCGATCTTCATTTCTGTTGTGTATTTCTTGCTTTATGAAGTCTCTATCTTGATCTTGTGCCAGAGTTATTAATTCTTGCTTGTGCATTTGTAAACTAGTCTTGGTCTAGGAAGTGGATTATTGTTTACAGGCCTGAATTAGGATTGAAATCATTGGTCTTGATGTGACTCTTTTTAATTTGTTCAATTGTTTCTACCTTTCATTACTCTTTTTTCCATTTGACTTCAAACCTTTTAGTTCAACTTTTGAGTTGTGACTTGCTATTAGATGTTTAATAAAGCTGGATCAATAAAAAGTAAATCACTTTCAAGTGATAATTGTTAACTATTTCAACTTTTTATCCTTTAATAATCAATTTTATCACCTGTATGCATGTCTCATGATAATTAATATAGTAATAGCGAGAAATTATTATATGGTCCGGAGATTATTGGTATGAGTCAAGAATCACAAAATTGATCTTTTTAAGCTTCTATGCAGATCAATTTTTACATCCTTTTCATCATGTCTAACCATGCCGAGGTAAGCATCAACCTTAGTTAATGTTTTTATTATTTGTAGTTTAATGTTTAAATTTAGGTATGACCATATTTTTATTGTGTTTTTAATGTTCTTATATCAATTTTCATGTACTTGGAATGAAGAGTTCTAGAAAAGTTACAAAAAGATTAGAACGGGGGCGTCAAGCAATTTTGGCTGGTATGGTGCGTCAACCCTCAGTTATACGCATTTCTGATGGGGGTTCAAACTCCCCTCGTACATCCACAAGTGACCAAAATGTAGTAGTTGGTGAGCCTTGTGTTTTTGAGCTGCTACACTTTTGTAGCCTTGTGTTTCATATGCATATAAAATTGGGCCGTCAGGTAGCTGAGCCTGTTCTACTTCTATATCTCCTGGGCCTGTTTGGGCTTTGTACATACTTTACACACACACACACACACATAAAAAGATTAATTTTATACTTATACATGCCAGTGATTGCTTGAGGCTATTAATGGAGACACCCATCTCTTTATCTAGTGGTTGCTGTTGCACACTTTGTTTGGGCTGTGTTTGTTGGCCAACTCTGTAAACAGAAATTATGTAAAGGACATGCAACTTGATTGGTTTCCTTATGCTACACAGCCTGCTGACACAAATGATGTAGTAAAGGTGTGTGTCTTCTGCTGTAGTAAGAATTGGATATCTATCCAAATGACCATCAACACAATAGTTAAGCACATCAGCTCCCAAACAGTCTGTATTCATTGTGCACTTTCTTGTATTTAGAATAGTTTTATTCACATACATAATAAAGAACACTGCAATTACACACAGGTATTGTATCCACAGCACACATAGCAAGCATGTAAACACTTAAACAAACCATAGTTTGTGAGGTCTACCAGAGCTGAAACTGTAATGGTCACTTTCTTGACCATGATTCAACTTGTTTAACTCCAAATCATCAATTCAATCATGCTTAGATGATGGACAATCAGAGTATAGCATGATTATAGCACTCAAACATGAGTGCTGAACCTGTAATTGCCTTTGACAGCCCACTGTGTCCTCTGAAATGTTTGGACTCTTTTCCTCCCTTTTCTTCCTTCCTTCTTTCATTTTGGTAGGAGCTCTAATTTAATTTATTATCTCCTTTCCAATATGTTCTCTTGATTCTAAGAAGACTGGTTGAATTGTACAATTTTTTTATTTTGTTCTCTCTCTACACACACACACACATATATATATTTGTTTATCTACTCACTCACTGGTGTGGAAGTAATTCAATACTTTTTTGAGCACGTTTTAAAAAGTTTTTAATGATATATCAATATGAAAAACACTATTTGGTTTACATGCAGGGCCGAACGTGGGATAAGCTTGTATTTTTGAGTTTTTGCTTAAATGATGCTTGAGGTATCAATTTTTTTGCTTAGAACTTCCAAAATATTAAAATACAAGATACAGATACATGATTATCATCTACTTCCAATTTTTTTCTCTATTTACAGGTTCAAGATTATCATCTTCTTTTGGGATACCTGGGTGTGCTTCTTTTGGGATACACTATTTGGTTTACATGCACGGCCTGGGATAAGTTTGCATTTCTGAGTTTTTGCTTAAATGATGCTTTAGGTATGTAATTTTTTTTTTTTTAATAGCTTCCACATTCATGGGATCAACTGCTAAAATATGTTGAAAATTCTCAAGATTCTTGCTACACGAAACCACTACCTCATGAACAGATCCAAACTTCTCTCTATTCCAAGTTTTAATAGACTTCTTGGTAATTTTAAGTTTCTGAATTAGCTTTTTAATTGGATCACCCCCTACCTCTCGAAAAAATTGAAGAGAGTTGTGTCCCCAACAGCCCAAGTCCATGTCACTATTTGAAATTTCATTCATGAACATGAATCACATGGATAGACAATAATTTAGGATGATACGGAAATTAGGTGGGATTTCATTCAAGGCTATGGTTTTAGGATATTTTTGGATTTTCCTTGAATTTGAATAGGCCAGTTAGTTATTTACATAGCTTTTTCGTGAAATTCCTTATCATAATGGAGTCATTTTGAAAATGGTAGCATCTCAAAAATGATTTCAAGATATTGAATTCTGTCAAAGTAAGGATTTTTAAATAACCATGTTTGAAGAAATTCAATGGAAGTTCTTCTCGGTCTAAATGACCCCATTTAAATGATGATGATTGCATTGAAATGCTATGTAAATCATAGTGTTGCCATTAAAATTCAAGGGTCGTTAAAGAGGCTCTTAGGAATTGACAGTGTGGGGTTTTCCTCTTGTTCTTGAGGGTCAAGTGCTTACAAATGTGGCTGCTATTAATAAAAGATGAAAATTAAAAAATTTAAACTTTACACGTAAGATTCTAATCATTAAATTGTAAATAAGCTAATTTGTGCTCATGTAATTGTATAACATTCGAAGAATTTTTCTGTAGCATCTCATAAAAGTTAGAAGTGCATGTAATATCACAATTGGTTTTGATATGGAATATCACATTTGGTTTTGATATGGAATATCACATTTGGTTTTGATTCCAATATCACATTCTAATAGATATGGATATTTTGCCTCTGCTTATTGTATTATAGTCTGGCTGATTGTTGAAGATAAATGATAGATAGGAGTTGCTCGTGTGATGCCTGTTGATGTAACTTGTTATTGTCATTTCAACCATCTTCAAAGAAACTGTATAATTGTACTTGAACAATCTGGAAATTTTCTTTTTAGATATTTGAAAGAGTTACAAGAACATTTTGGTTCTGTCTGAGTTTGGACATATTGAATTACCTAATTGAGACATTGGTAGAAAAACTTTAAGCGGATTGAGCAACTAATAAATTGAAATTCTGTCTAAGCTGAACATATGCACCATTTAGAAGGCAAGAACACAAAATTTTACTACTTACAGATTAAATAAAATAAATGAGATCATGGAATATATTCAATTTACACCAAGCTGTTGTAGATGTGGATACTTGGTCTGCATAGTGACATGAACCAAGCTATTTTGATTGTGGGTTATATTTATTTGTTGATTGCTTCTATATGAACTTGTTTTCTTTGCAAAAAATATATAGTTACTGTTTCACTACTTCATCTGAATCGATCAAATTCTAATATTGAGTATGATCTTAGGTTGTATAACCCCCTGGAATATGAGTATACAAATATCTGGATTGATGGATTGTAGGATTAATTTGTACTTTTGAAATAATGGAGATGCACTGTGTCCAAGGATAATGTTATAGATAAATACATACTTACAGACATGTGTGCGTGCATATACATGTACAGACATTGGTAATTTGCAGATAGATAGTTTATATGAGGCTGTAATCTATAATGTTTGGGTCAATACGTGTGTGTTTTCTTGTAGAGGGGCTAAGCTGTTGATGCTTCAGTTAGTATCAGTTCCTTTCATGCTTAAGTTTCTTAGTTGGTTAATTTTCAATTTTTTATTCATCTATTTATTTTAGGGTATCCTTTGTTTACCTTCCAGCCATGGGATTGTGATCTACCATTTGAATTTGTTAAAGAGCTGCTCCTGGGGTTCTCGTCGAGTCATTTTGATGTCAACCAAGAGTAACTTTACATAGACATACATATTTATAATTCACATAAACAGCATATATGCTTTCTGTGTCACATTCTTTCTCAGAATATTAGCATTCTCCTTTTTGTTGAATTGTTCATTTGTCATTTCCCTTAACTGTGTTTTGATTGTGATGATTTATGGATTTTACATGCTGTGGTCCATGCCTGAGAGGTCAAAAACTTGGTGTTTACATTGTGAGAGATTTTAAGTGCAATCTCAAATGCATTAGTGGCTGTCCATTCACAATTCTTTGGGTCTTTCGGATTCGGACTGACTTGCATATGTTTAGTGAACATGGAATCTGCTTTGGACTGAGTGGATGATCAAAAGAGTTGTTCAACAATCTATCTTTTTAGACTTCTTTGTCATTGGTTGTCAAAAATAATTTTGTGGCAATGTTCTGCAAAATGGATTAATAAATTAAAATTCATATTTTAACATTAATGTGATTTTGTCTGCTCTTCTATAGTCTGACCATGTTAGATATTAAGTGCACATTACGTACTTAATCCATTCCTTAGTTGTCTCTAACAAATTAATTAATTCTACCCAATTCTATTTTCTCTATTTACAGGTTCAAGATTATCATCTTCTTTTGGGATACCTGGGTGTGCTTCTTAGGGTATTAGAATATGATGATGGGCACTACTATGAAGATATCAAGACAAGAAAAACACAAGACCAATTGGGTTGCCTAGAAGAGTGAGCAATTGCCTTAATATTTTGATTTTTTGTGGGTATTGCTACTTGCCAGGTTACATTTTTTGTGGGTATACATATATGTCAACAATGATGGAATTGTACATTGAAATCTTTAATGAATATAAGACTTCTTGAAATTTATTTGTTTGTGATTGGTGGGATTTGCCTTTTTTTATTTTTTGTAAGGCTTGACATATTTTTTTGCATGCATCAAATATATATGTTGATGTTGTTGATTTGCATAAGGTTTGGTATGAAAATATATGGATTTGGGTGGAGTTTTGGCTGTGTAATATTTGTGGAATGAGATGTTGGATGAGTGATGATTATTGCCAGGTTTCTATGTTTTATAAAAAACAGGCATAATATTTGTTTTGGGTGGAAACAAAATATATATATATATATATATATATATATATATATATATATATTACTTTTCACAATGGACAAAGTTCCTAGCAGAACAGGTAAAAATTGTTGTGAAAAGTTACATTTCTAAGACGGGCTATGTCCGTCGTAGAAAATTCCACCTTCTACAACGGGTATACTTACCGGTTGTAGAAAAATTGACTTTCTACGACAGGCAATAATCATTGTGGAAAATGACAGCTTCTACAACGGGTTACTTTCTAGGAGGGGCAACGTCCATCGTAGAAAAGAACACCTTCTACAACGGGTCACTTTCTACAACGGCCATTGCCCATTGTCGTAGTATGAACTTCAACCGTTGTAGAAAGTTTCCTTTCTACAATGTGCTAGAACCGTTGTAGAAGACCCTAAGTCAACAATGACCGTTGTAGAAAGTTTCCTTTCTACAACGTGCTAGAACCGTCATAGAAGACCCTAAGTCAACAACGACAGGGGATACCACAATGGGCCATGCCTGTTGTAGAACTGTTTTTCGCCCCTTGTTACAAGTCATTTTTCTTGTAGTCCACCAAAACAAACATATATGAACCAAAGCAGCACCCCAACTATACAAACAAAAACTGAATTTTACTCGAGACTAAGACAACACACCAACACAAACAAAAAAAATAATAATAAAAAAAAAATAAAAAAAAAATTATGAGAGAAACACAAGATGTCCACGTGAATGGGAGATTCTATTTATTAATTTATTTGCCACATCAACAATCTCTACTGACTGATCAACCATCAACAAATTTTGACATTTTTCCTTTTTATGGAAATTGAACCTAAATAAGAATGAGAGCAAAAGAAACAGAATAGAAAATTTGAAAGCCTAAAAAACTCAAAATTGGAACATAATTAAGCTCGATTTCGGCAAAGTTTGAACAAAATTTCTTACTCGATTTAAGCTATTAGAAAGAGAAAAAAAATTACACGGTTGAACAAATTAATTTTGACATTTTTCCTTTTAATGGAAATTGAACCTAAAAAAGAATGAGAGCAAAAGAAACAGAATAGAAAGTTTGAAAGCCCAAAAAACTCAAAATTGGAACATAATTAAGCTCGATTTTGGCGAAGTTTGAACAAAATTGCTTACTCCATTTAAGCTATTAGAAAGAGAAAAAAAATTACACGGTCGAACAAATATAATGTTTTAACATGCTTGTTTCACGAAAATGAATCAATCCTTACTAAGATCAAATCGAAATCGAAATACAATCTGAAGCGGAGTGGTGGAGGTCCTGTTATATTAGGTTTGAAATGATTAGCGGCTAAGGAAAAAGAAAAATGCAGATGAAGAAACACAAATAGGAGCAAAGAGAGGAAAAAAATAGATCTATTGGGTTTAACCATACAAAAATGGGTATAACCCATGTTTTGTATTTTTTAAAGTTTAAAAGAGGGGTCAACCTCTTATTGGGACACGTAAGTGTGCAGGACACAATCTATCTTGATAAGTCAGGACTGAAGTATTATCCCTATTTGGGTCATTGTTCTAAATTTGACTATTGAAATTTGAATTACAAATGTGAGGAGTTGTAACTATCCAGATAATAGTTGTCACACTCTGGTGACTTTTGAGTTTTGAACTTGCACCCTTTGTTACTCTATAAATATGGGTACTTGCTAGATTTTTCATTCAGTCTTCTAGTTCTCTCATATTTATTCCTACTCTAAATTATAACAGTTTCACAAAGAGCACAAATTTTTTATTCTTTGATATTGTTAATTGTAGAAATTCAAACTCTGTTGTATCATAAAGATGTCTCGGGATCCCTTTTGAGTAGAGCTAAATAACACCTTAAGGAGAGTGATGATACATGCCTCAAAAGTCATAGAAATTAATAGTTTTGGGATTGAAGTTAATCACACGCAATGAATGAGGATGTATATAGTAGTCTTGGCCGACTTAAACACAAGAAATAAACCTTACATCATGTTGTATTATTCAAGTTCTCAATTATTCATGTCACATTCAAACCCTAGTTGTTAGATCAAATCTTTTCAACGGCTCCTAGCCAATTTTATGTTAATGTCATTAGCCAATTTGCTTGGTCCCAAAACAAGTTGGCGGGATCGCATGTAGACGACCCCTTTTGAGAAGAGCCAAATAACACCTTAAGGAGGGTGATGATACATGCCTCAAAAGTCATAAAAATTATTAGTTTTGGGATTGAAGTTAATCACACGCAATGAATGAGGATGTATATAGTAGTCTTGGCCGACTTGAACACAAGAAATAAACCTTACTTCATGTTGTATTATTCAAGTTCTCAATTATTCATGTCACATTCAAACCCTGGTCGTTAGATCAAGTCTTTTCAACGGCCTAGCCAATTTTATGTTTATGTCATTAGCCAATTTGCTTGGTCCCAAAACAAGTTGGCGGGGTCGCATGTAGACGATTCAGTGGACCACCTGAATGTGTTGTTTGTTGCCAATAAGTTACAATCTTTGGCTTTTGAGACCCCACCACGCGCACACATGCAATGTAGCTGAAGCAAGTTGCGTTCAAATGCAAAGCATTACTGTTAACTCTTGTTCTAGTGATGGCAGGCATCCTTTTATTCCGATAAGCATTCTTTGGCCAGACGAATTATATGTGACGTGTACTAATAACTCCAGTGTTTTTCTACATATTTTCTTTCATGCTTCAGAGTATTGTTCCAACAGTTACAATCTTATCTCTATATTTTTTAGCACAAAACTATGTTTCAACTTGTAAACACCCATTTCATATTAGTATCCAAATATCTTAATTATTTATTTTTTGCTTTGAAATAATGCCCTAAAGATGCATCCTTAAAAGAAACTTTATTGCCATTTTGTACAATTTCTTGAAATGAATCTTAAAGGCAACAACTAATCAAATGTATTTTTGTTTTTTCTTTGCTTCCAAACTGTCTAGTGAAAGTGGTCTCTCTCACTTTGATTGTATTGTGTTCTGCAATAAGGGTATACCATCTTTTCAATAGAATCAACCTCAGGACTAGGGAGCACGACACTCCACCTAAGGATATTATGGTAGTGTCGGACACGGCCTGAACAAACGGATATGGCTCGAGCACGTGTTAGACATGGCTAAAAGGATTTTGAAATTTGAATATTTTATTTTCTAGTTGTACACAAGTAACAACACAGTATGGACACAACAAGACACGTTTTGGACACTTTTAGAACACGACAGGATGATTTTGTAATTATTTTTATTAGAAGAATGAATCTCAATGCAATTTGAAATATATTATGGACTAATACAAAAACATAGTATAGAATTTAAAATAACAAAATTGTATAAAATTTAAAATAACAAAGATATAGTAACAAACATTTAATTCTAAACTTTAAATTAGTGCTTTCATTCATAATTTAGAGGATAAAATGAATAAAAATGATTGTTTTTTTTATATATAATATAATATTTTATTATTATTTTTTGACGTATATATGTGTGCCTTATTTTTTTTTTTAAATTTATCGTATCGCCGTGTTCGTATCGTGTCGTATATGTTGTTTCATGTCTGTATCGTATGAATGATGAAAATAAATAAATAAAAACCAACGAACGAGGTTGTTTCTTTTAAGGCGCTACGCTTCTTTTTTTGATTTGTAGCACGAGTTTTCTTAAATAAAATAACCAATTAATACAATACACGACAATGGGTGAAAATCACCTCCAGTCACATAGTGTACCATTTTCACCATTTTGGATTAAGTGGAGGAGAATTGGCCATATCAATTAAAAATTTTGGGTAACTAAAATTTTACCACCTTTGTATTGTAAAAGCTTTAAATATTGTATTATATATATATAAACACATTTAAATATTGTATCCAAAATACCTTGTCTTCTTTCAAAATGTCGTCTTCTTCCTTTCCTCTCTAAAAGCTTCATCACCTTCCATTAATGGACTCTCCAATGACTCACAGTAACTTTTGAATTTCAAAGCTTCACTTCAAAACCCAAACACATTCCAAAACCTCATGTAATTTCACTGAAGTATTATGCAGAAACTCCAGAGTATCATCCATAGATCTAAGCTTTATTCATGTAAATCTCGATTTTGGGTCTGTTTTTTTCTTATCTGACTAAAGAGCACAAACATCATTGGTTCGCACTTTTTTTTAGTACTCCTAGAATTTTGTTGGGATTTTACGTATAACATAAGCATGAAATATAGTTAGTATTGCTTGGGATATAAAATACGTATTGTTTGGGATGTTAAGTAGGATTATGTTGGGATGTTACTTACAACTTATACTGTGATACCCCCTAATTTCGGAACACGGGTTGATCAAGTCCGCGCACAAAATCAGGGAATATCAAACCAATTATAGTATTTAAACAAACACGGATTACAAAATGAAATAAAGAATAAAATAAAACGCTGAAGAAATCCAATAACCAATAAATCCATTAATAACTTCCAAATGGTTACAACTCGGGAATCCCGTAACTCAAGGACCCCTAAACCAAAAGTTACTATTTAGAATTTCAACCAAATAAATACTAATATCAACTGAAACAAAACTAATATCCTACTTTTAAGCAAATAGAAGGAATGGATAAGTCCTCCAGCTGCGGATCCTCAACCTTGAGACTTGACCTTCTAACAACCTGAAAAATAAATCGCGGGTTAAACCCTACGAGCAAGTTCTCTCTACCAAGCCTCTGAAAACCAATAAACAGATCATCTTTACCAAAACCATCCCTAATTAAGCTTTAACTTTAATATACGATGCTACCAATATATATAAATACTTATATATATAGTACAAGAATCCTATCTGTTAATAGGGCATTAAATTGTCAAAACCACTCACCAATAATTAATTATTAGTCATAACCAGACCAAGCCCCCCCTTTTATAATTTTCTCATAAAGTAAACCCCACTCACCTTAACTCCATCCTAAACAATAATTTAGTCATCTACACATATAGCAATTTAAGTATGCACCGGCAAATCAACCATGCCATTTATAAATATATTTATTTATATACTAGCAATTCAACCATGCTTCATTCAATATATTTACTTTTACAATTAATTAGCAATTCAACCATGTTTCCCATATATGAAATTTATTCATAACCAATAAGGCAGTATATCAAAGCCTTTGGCAACTCATCCATGCCTACAATTCAACCATGTACTAACTTTAAACTTAACTCTAGGTATAATTATACATAGACTTCACATGCATATAATAAGCATGTCCTTAATTTAATAACCGTGTATCTATTACGATTTTAAATCAACTATACCATACACGAATCAAGTCATACCAAACAAGATTTATAATATTTAATAATCTTAAATAATATATTTATACACATATATTTTATAATATATATATATGTGTGTATCATACATCCCATACCAATCGTTGACTATTTAAAATTATATCTACATATATATACACATATATACACCTCCTTTCATTGCAAAAATATTTAATTAATTGTATTTATACCACTAAATGCTACTAGGTATCTGAGTAACACTATGAGGCTCTCAGAACATCAAGAACACACCCTCTAATGATTAATTTTAACCCTAACAAGCTTAAGATAAATACTGGAACTTCACCGGAGTCTCAAGCAACTTTCCAGGACCTCACACGCATCCCCACGCGCCTTCACGCGCCAC